CTTGCTACAGTATTAGATTGGTAGTTCTGTAAGTCTTCTGAAATCAGCCTTCCTCCTACAGAAAGGAAAGAAGCTATCCCCAGGACTTGGTCCATAATGATCTCTGGACAAAAGCTACAGTGGAATCAAAACTTAAAATGCCAGTCCCCAAGGGCATATTTACAAGAAGACAAAGTGCTCAGGTCAATGACAGGCTCCAGAGAAGAAATCCATGCATGGCAGTCCCTTGGCACAGCGATCTGTGGGGTGAAGGTTGTATGGGGTGGGGGCTCCTTCACATTGTTTTTAAGACAGTACAAAAGAATGTGTAATACCAGCCTGAATGGTACCACAGGCTACCATGAATGAATGTCAGAATTACTATTCAAGTGACCTCAGTGTTACATGTCTGACCCAATTGTAAGCAAATGGAGATCACAGGAGTTCTTTAGTTCCATGCCTGATTCAACTTCATAATTGACCCAAGAGGTTGTATGGCAGTGGAGTTTAAAGCTCCAAATTGAAGGTTTTGTTTCTATGAGATATGCATTTAATCTATGAATCATTTTTAAAGCTCCTTAAAGATAAATCTTCATTCATAAGCTCACACATCAGTATGAACTTCCCGGCAAGAAATTAAAAAATGGCAGGTATTTTCTAGACATAACATAAAATAGCACAGCATTGAATTTAATATGTCCCTCAGCAGCCTCTAGATAAGTCTTGGCCTACTCAATATTTTGTGGAGGAAGCAAGAATTGGGATAGGAAAGAAATCAAGTCAACAAAGACTTGACACCCACTTCCCAGCAGGACATTTTCAATTCACCAAGCTGATCCCTTCCACTGTCTTCTGAGCTCCCTCTGCACCATCCTACCACAGCTCCTTTGTGGTTCTTGTTCTCCCCAACCAATCACTGTGACTTGGCTTGTCCTCCCCTCTCTGGTGCACCTATCCATGGCTTCTGTGTCCCTGAGCCCCACCTCCTCCAGGAAGCCCTTCTGCCCACTGATGGTGTGCTACATATTTTACACTTCATCATTTACCACTTTGTCCTATCAGTTGTCCGTTTCATCTCTAGCTCTTATCTCTTGCCCAAGCTCCAAATCCATACTGCCAACAACCTGCTGGCAATCCTCAGAACCATGACTCACTGGCACCTCCACTCAACAAGTCCAAAACAAATCATCTTCAGTGCCATCCAGCCACCCAACACACACACACACACACACACACACACACATACACACACACACACACACACTCATACCCTCCTCCTCCAGTCTTCTCTATCAATGGAGTTCTGCATCTAGCAAATATTTCCTATGTCTAAAGGACCACTGTCAGGCACTATGGAGACAGAAAGGTATTCAAAGATGAACAAGTGCCACCTGACCTCCCTGTCAGGACAAGTTCGGCACCCCTCTTATGCTCACCACTGTCCACAGCACCCTGTATTAGCCCCATCACTGAACTTATACTGTATTCTAATGCTATCACCCCCTTACCAGACTCTGAACTTCAGGAGGGCAGAGTCATGTCTTAGGTTTCTCTGCCTCAGCGGTGCCCAGGACAGAGACTGGCTAGGTGGGTGACACTGCATGCCCTTAAGGAGCTAACCACTGACCTGGATCCCGAGAGTCGGAGTTATCTTCACCTCTTCCCTTGTCCTCATAACTAGTCATCAGCGAGTTTTCTTGATTCTATCTTAACAGTGTCCACTGCTTTCATCCACTTTCTCTTTCTGTCCACTATCACAACAGTAGCCCACACCACTATCTGGGCTGCCTGGAACCCAGCAAGAGTCTCTCCTGGCTTCCCTACATCCTGTTGCTTATTCTCACCACTTCCTGACAATCCAGCCCCCACCCCACCACTAGAGGGATCGTTGCAACCTGTATGCTATTCTATCCTCCTGCTTAAAACTTTTCACTGGCACCCCTCTGAATATAGCTCCAGCTCAAAGCCCCGCTCCTCTTCACTCACTTTACCCTCAACCCAAACCATCCTACCTCCACTGCATGCTGTTTTAACTTACTCCCTCTAACCTTCTACTACCAGTCAGAATATTCTTTCCATCCTTCAAGGCCCAATTCAAGTGCTTTTATCCCCGGACATTATTGTTAATTGAATCATTTCTTTTACCGCTTCAACAGCATCTCATTTAGAGGTAGAGCTTTGCCTGTGTTACTTATTCTGCCCTATCCTGTGATAGCTCGTTGTGTACACAATATCTTGATTACTCGACTGTAGGGGCCTTGGAGGCGGGGTCCATGAGGACAGATGATTACAGCCCCCTCCCCGACCGAGTGCCTAGGTTATGCTCAGTGAACAAGCTGAACAGAATTTAATGAACTAGCTCACAATATTCATTCATTTTATATATATTTACTGAGCCTAACCAAAGCAGAACATCTCTGCCCTTATGGCACTTACATCCTAATGATAAGGCACAGACAGTTAATGAAGGAAATAAATAAATGTATATGACGTTAGATGGAGAGAAATGCTAAACAAAAAGTCAAGTAGGGAAGGGGGCCAGGGGCAGTGGAGATAGGGCTTAATTTTTTCCCAGATGACCAGGGAAAGCCCCAAGTGACACTGACAGGTAATCAAAGGCCTGAAGTAGACGGAAGCAAGCTGATATCTGGGGACTGTGCCAGCTGGGGGGACAGCTAGTGAGGTAGATGCCTGTTTGGTACAGGCAACCAGGAGGCCAGTGTGGCTCAAGTGGAATGAGTGAGGGGGAGAGAGGTCAGAGAGGAGGTCAGATGGGCAATGGGAGGCCAAATCCTGGAGAGCCTTGTAGGCTGTTGGGATGACCTTGGCCTTTACTCTTTTTGAGATAGGGCGCCATTACCCAAGTTACACTTTGAAAGAGTCACTCTGGCAGCCTATAAGAATGACAAGGGCAGGAGTAGGGACGCCAGTTAGGAAACTACTGCAATAAGGCAGGTGAGAGATGTTCCACATCCTTGCAGGCCTCTGGCCTCATCTGTCCAGACCTACTCTTGTCAGCTGGGTAAGAGATGCTCTGAGGGGTTACCAAGGCACTCAAATCAGAGCCAGAGCTTACCAGGTGAGTCCTTAACTGAGTTCTAAACCAAAGAGAAGACAGGAGAAACTTGAAGGGAAAGGTCTGAAGAGCAGGACAAACACACCAGGGAGTGGCCTGACTGTGTTACAAGGCATCTCAGTGAGGGACAGTATAATGAAGGTGTGCTGTCTGTCCACGTCCCCTGTCCCCTCAACAATGCTTGGGATTACCAGACAAGGCAGCAAGCACTGTGGCTTTAGTTTTGCAGATGAAGACACTGAATCAGGGACCAAAGTACAAGTGAATCTGGAAAGTTATTCAGCGGCCCTAGCCACCAGCTTATACCCATTGAAAGATGTAGCGAGGGGTAAAAATCAGTGGTGAAAATCATCAAAACCACAGAAATTCCAAATAAGGCCTGAGAAAATACTTCAGGGTTGAACAGGGTCTTCTTGGTTCCTGGTAGTAAAAAATGCTAAGAATCTACACTTACAATTATAAGTCTGTCAGTAAACACTTACTCCATTAAAGGAGATACCCAACCCCTTAACCAAACACACAATACAGAAAAGCATGCAAACCAAATTTAATATTAAATGCTTTAGGGAAAAGCTCCTAATACTAGTTATCTGGGGGAGGGAGCAAAGGAGAGAGGAATTTTTATTATCTACATTATATATTTCTGCAATATTTTAATTTATTTATAGTGAGCTTATAATTGCATTAATTAACAGTATTAATTTTGAAGCATTTAAAAAGCAGCAAAGACATCTACAAAAGAAAAAAATGCACTGAGGAGCAAACCACTCAAAGGAGCCCCTGGGAAAATATTTTTGAAAAGTGAAGAGATATAACAATGTGAATAACTGAGTACTATTTTATTTGTATTATGACATATTTTTATAAATCAGGGTTTTTTGGTAATATAGGCAGGGCCTATTTTACCTACATTTTGCCAGGGGGTGACTTATAAACAACTGAAATTTCTTTCTCAGTTCTGGAGGCTGTGAAGCCCAAGATGAAGGTGACTTCCCATTCATTACCTGGTGAGAACCTGCTTCCTTTAGCCACTTTCATTTGCATTCTAATACGATGGAATTCCAGGATCTCTTTTTTTTTAATTTATTTTTTATTGAAGTTTCATTGATATACAGTCTTATATTGGTTTCAAGTTTACAACACAGTGGTTCAACAGTTACCCATATTATTAAATCCTCACCTGCCTCACTAGTGCTGTACTACTACCCCCGTGACCAACTTACAATATGATTGAGAATTTTTGTGTACTTTTATCCCTCTCCCCCTCCCCACCCACCTACCTCAGCCCCTCCCCCATGGTAACCACTAGTCACTTCTCAGTGTTTATGAATCTCTTGCTGTTTTGTTCATCCAGGGCCTACTTTCTTAAATAATAAAAGGCAAGTAAGTTACTTAAGACAGCTCTAGAAATACTACTGAAGAGTGATTAGATTTCATTCTCTGGATATTTTTTTGGAAAATGATAAGCAGTTAGTAGCATGCAATGAATTAAGGGCAATCTCATTCAGAATCAAAGTGGCCAGGCAGCTTCCTGCTGTCCTATGATTGTTATTTCTCCACACATCTGAGACATTTATATTTAGGTCTGCTTCAAGAGCTTAAGGCTAGAAAAGGGAAGTTAGCACATGCTGATTTTTAGAGTAGCCGGAAGGCCTATGTACTCTATTACATGGAATGGACTAGAATTGGTCAACAGAAGGGGTGGAACAGGTGTCTGAGCTTTGAATTCTTTCACTTTTTAAATTTTTTGCTGCCTTGATGTAAGTTAAATACAACTGCATTTCAAAATATCTAATAGCAGATTTTTCCCTGTTCTGTTCTAGTCTTATTTTTGACATATGCATGAAAGTATAGTTTCTGTCAACCAGTTAAAACTACAAGATTTTCAGTAAGAATACTAAGAAAGTACAAGACACATTCAAAAAGACTTAAAAGATTCACTTACCACTGGATTTAATTTCTCGAACATAATTGCTAGGGAACCAGCCTGTTCTCCCATTTAATGTGCCTTCCCACCATCCGCCTTCTTCAACTCTAGTGACATAAATGATGTCCCCTTTACAAACGGAAAGTTCATCTTCATTAGTCTGCTTAAAGTTGAATCTTGCCTTTACAATCAACTGGTGACTTCCATTTTCTGTCATCTCCTAGAGGAACAAAAACCAACACCAGATGAAGCATTCATCTAAATGGGACAGGGACAGAAATTACATGAATTTAGGCAAATAAAGTGAGGTGGCCAGAGATAAAGCCCCAAGTCCATCTCAGTTTCGAGTTTTTAACTTCGAGGTGGCCCTAACATGTATAACCCTCAGGGGGGATTAACAAATCCCTCAACTGTATGCAAACTTGCATTTGTGAGACTATGTATTGTGGAGGGGCCACAGCTTTCATTTCCCTCTCCCCTCACCAATTATCTAAAGATACTATTTAAATGAGCCCAGAGACAAAGTAGAGTGCTAAACCATTCCACCCAACCTCTACCCAACACACATAGTCTTACATAATGATACGACCAAGATTAGATCCTAACCTACTCATAAAACCTGCCTCCCACCTCACAATCACTAAGAATATCTTAAATTGGCTAAGACTTAGTCATATGCAAAGATCAAATACCCCATAGTTCCCGAAGTCAGGAGTTCTTAATTTGTCACGGGCCCCTTTGAGAAGCTAATGAGCACAACACATCTTTACCAAAACACATACCCATATGTTCATACACAGGAGATTTTTGCATATCATTTGAGAGGGTCCAAGGCATGTGCAACCACAGTGTTCATCAGCTCCTCCAAGGGATCTGTGATTTCAAAAGGTTAAGTGCTGTGGAAGTAATTAAAGTGCTTTGGAAGTAACAACTCTTGATGGCTTAAAGTAGGTGGGCGGCTTTTGACAAGGAACAAAGGTCTCAAAAGAGCAGAAGATGGAGCAGTTCCTCCCAAATAAAGGCACCCATTGAGACCAAATGCAAAGATACCCGGGCTGTTCCAATACAGTAGCTCATCAAAGGCTCAGTAGGAATGCAAAGAAATAAATAAAATCACGATGATCATAGCAAGAAATATTGCTTGCCTACTATGTGCCAAGCACTATTTATATCTCCTAATAAACCACGGGTAGGGGAACTAACGCCAAGTGGCCATCAGCAAGTAGTCATAAAGACTTATATTTGCACAGCATTCTCAGTTAAAAAACTTGCTTGATTCTAGGAAGGGAAAGAACTTTGGGGCTTCAACCCTGATTTTCTGACTCTCTGCCCCACATGCATTTGATTCATTCCAGCAGGCCAGCCTGAACTGCTGCTAGGTTTAAAATTAGTTTTCTCTGCAAGGCCCCAAATAAACAGGTTGGCTATCTCACCACATATGGGGCTGCGATGGGGATATCAATCTAATTTTATGTATTTTGAAACAGGCAGGGAGAATAGGGGGACTATACTTACCACTGCCTTTGACTGCCTTTGCAGCCCAGGAGCTGTGCTAGAAACTGCTCCCTGTGGGTTTGTCTGAGGACTATTAGCAGCACTAAGAGAAGAGGAACGTCCACATGGTCTTTCTGATAGCTGATCTGTGAAAAGAAGAAAAGGCATGGTAAAGGGAACCATTCACATCAGAAAAACATCTACAACAGGACATTATCTTTCATGGGACATTATCAAAGGCAACCTAGCCATGATTCAACTGTTATCATTACGAACATGCCAAGTGTACTTCATCCCCCTCCCGCTTTGGTGGCCAACTTCTTTCTCTTAACCTTACTGGCCATTGCTCTCCAGTAGAATGAAAAACAGCGACAGAACCACATTTTCTCTTAACCCATTTCCCTACAACTATTCCCTCCTGAACCAGCCACAACAGTATGGAAAAACCAAGGAAGAACTATATTGGGTACCAAACAGCTGTTTGTGCTCTTATTACTTTGAAATATTTCAAATTTCTCTCTTTGGTTTTTGGCCCATACTAAGTGGTTCTTCTCCTGCTCACATACAGCAATGTATGTGACATATATAATGTAAAACCCCCTTGACCTGGCCTGGGAGGTGAGGATGAGAGAGAGAATGTATGTCTGGGAAAGATGCAATCCTGATAGTAGAAAAAATTTTTTTAAAGTCAAACTTGGGAGTCTTCTCTTCCTTTGAAACCTTGTGAAATTCGATCCGACCGGTGCTGAGAATGTACTGAAGAGTGGCGCTGGCTTCTCGACAAATTCAAACAAGGGTTCTTTTCCTCTCCATTTATTTTTAAAAGATATAAACTGCAAAAGTCTAAAGCCCAAACATTCTCTAGGCGACAAGCTCAGTATCCAAGTAATTTCCTTGATGCTGTGGGTTTTAACTTTCACCTCCTTGTATTTATAAATATCTGTGGCAAGGGAAGAGACTGTAAAACTTGCTAGGAGAGTTTGGCAAAGGAACGTATAATTTGTGTGGCATAATGTTAGAACTATACAATCCTCCCTGCCCAGAACTGGATAGCTGTCATGTGTGTTAAATATAGTTACTTGAATTAGCTGTACTTTCTGCTATACGCCTTGCAATAGCTCAAAAGCTTTTTATTTTCCAAATAGCAAAAGAACAACTTCAGAGAAGTATTTTTACATTTATTGCTATTATATACAGCTCTTTTGACTAAAACTATAATTACTTGATAGCTTCCTAGATGCTCATCCTATTTGGCACTTGAGTATATTGCCTGCTCTTGTTCTCTAAAGGTTTCATGGGGTAAGCTGAGTCTCCCTACATAGATGGCAATTTTCTCAAGGGCGGACACCATATCTTACACTTCCCTCTGTAGCACCTGGCAGTGCTGGGCACACAGCCTGTTAACTCTCCAACAGTTGAAGCAGCAAGACCCATGTTTGGGCATAAGGGCTCTGGCGTCAGATGTGAGTTTGAATCCCAGCTCTGCCACTTACTTCTAGCTGGGCAACTATGCATCTGACTTTTCTTATCTGTAATACGGACCTAATAATAATTCTTACCCCCCAGTGTTGTTTCAAATTGAATGAGACCGCCTATGGCTCTTAGGGCATCCTAGACCCATAGTAAGGGCTCAAAGCATTTTAACTGTGGCTGTTACAGCCCAGCTGTAGAGAAGATACAATACCACAGAAGGAGGGAAGTTATATACCCCAAGGTTATCACTGCTTGCCTTGCATTTACTAGGACATATATTTAATATGTCCAATGTGGTGGGCATTAAACATTGAAATAGAAGGTAGTCTTTTCACTCATTATGAACCTGAAGTTTCCTTTCCAGTGCAAGGGCACTGAGGGGGTCCCTTGACATGGATGAAGGCATACGGAAAACTATGGGAAAAATGTGTGTCTCACCGGGAAAGAGAAGTAACAGCTATATTCTGTAAACTATGAAAAAGGGAGCTGGTCTATGCCTTTCTTTTCTGGCTTGTCATACCCAGTTGCCTTTTCAATAGCTTTGAATGAAATCGTTTCTTGGTTCTTCTCATTGTATTAAGAGCATTAGAATAACTTCTCTGATAGGTATGTTCAAATCTTAACGCATGAAAAATTAAAGTGTTTGATATCCACTGGGGTTTACTTGGAGGGAAGGAAGAAATTTGCACCAATCAAACAATTTTGGCCATAGTTGGCTCCTGGGGTAATCAGAAACATGTGGAGCCAAATATATCACCCAGAACTCTACTCACAGACCCTGCTTACCTTCGGTTGCTTTGTTGACAGCTAAAAGAGTACTCAGAACCTTAGAGAAATTGACCCCTGAATAAAGGTCATCAGGATCAAATACCTATGAGAAAGGAAATTGAAACTATAAGACACTGTAAGTATTCAACTCACCAAACCAAACTATCAAAAGGCTGCTTCCTCCAGCTCTCAGGGAGAAAAAAAACGTAAAAGCTGCGACCCAAACCTCTGCATACCGTGGGGAGAAATGAAAGCAGCAGCTGAGCTGCCTAATGACATGTGTCAGGCCATCAGTGAGTCAGAGCGAGGCAGTAATGGGAAATGAGAGCCAAGCTGAGAACGCAGGGCCCGCCGGGAAACGCACAGTGCACACAGACCCACTCTTCTGACCGGAGCCTATCAATGCTCTCAGCCCAGTTACCGGAACTTGTATGCATGGGTTACAGTTAATGCCCAGCACCTACAGAATGACTGTAACAGTCACAAAGAAGGACGGTGGAGCCTTTCGACACATTTTCATCTGTCCAGTCGATTCACTGCCCTCAGTAGGGACACTGTCAGCAGTCCCCTTTCCCTCCATTCCTGTCCCCACACTGTCACCCACTGGGTCCCAAGCACCTGGGATCCCAACTCACATTGCCCAAGCTTTCTGCCTAGGTCTGCCTTTTGCTCCCAGCTCCAGCTCCTGGTTTCTGCAGCTTGACTTTGCCCGTCTCAGCTTCTCTTCATGGATTTGAACCCTTGCCTGCCTGAGCCTATAGGTTCTTCCTGGCCTCAGGTGACTTTCCCAGATAGGAGTTTTGGCCTTGTGATACTACTCAACATTTGGAAACAAAACATTTAATAAATACAATATTTCTCTTTGTTGGTCATCATTCTGATATGCAACTATCTAGTGAAGATAACAATCGGCTATTGTTTTAAAAACAATTTGTTCATTTTTATATGTATTCCATGTATTAAAGCATATTGACTTCTTCCCATCTCATATATGTATATTTGAAACTAGAAGTGTTGTAAAGCACAGGTACAATCTATTAATCGGCCAGCCAACAATGTAGATACAAAGAGCTATAGGTAACCAGATGCCCACCATCTAGATGGAAATGCACCTTCTAAAAATATTTTGTTCATCTAGAAGTTTACATCTTTCTTCTCAGATGTGGTGAGAGGAATAAAATGTATCTTTGCATATGGGACATGATTGGTAATGGATTTTCCGATTAAGCAGAGCCATTTGTTTTGTCTCTAGTCTGCGTGTTTTCTGGGAACCACGTCAAGACACAATTTGATCTTCTTTGTGTATATATTCTTGAAGACCTAAAACATGTCTCTAGAATGAAAATATGTAGTATCCATTTTTTTTCCAAATTTAGGAGACCCACCAATACAAATAATATATGCCAACGGGAGCCTACAGAAGTCTGCCTATTCTGGGATCCACAACTCCACCATGCATTTAGTCAATGAATGTTTTACAATTAAACTTAAAATGACTGAAGAGCCCAATCACATCTAAAATTGAGACACAAATATACTTTAAGTAAAGGCATAGTGCCAATATTACTAAGGAGTGAAATGACACTATGGTCCAAATATACTTCTGAATGCTACAATATAAAATCCAAAGTTTTCCTGGAATAAATTGATAGGCTTCTGCTTTAGTTTCATGAAGCCTGGGTGAACAAGATGCAACAGACCCTGGAGAGAGTATCTAGTATCCCAGGAGATTCCTGACTTATTGAATCTCCCTTAGAACTGATCAATGGGAAAGAGTTAATGACATGTATGCCAAAATGGCAACAAAACACAAACTTTATTTATTTTTATCCCAGAATTCCTAATGCAAACACGAATGCATGTGTGAATGTGGAGATGTGAGTGTTCGGTAGCCATGGTGGAGATGAGTAGAGCCTAATAAGTGGAAGTAAGTATTAACAGAATAAGGCATAAGAGCAAAAGCTGCGATTAAAATGTCTCCTTTCTTTTTATGTTATTCCTTATCCAGGTTAATCGACTGCCTATATGTGGCAACTTGTACTTGGTACTGGCATTATTCACTTGTGCCGGCACTTGACCAAATTTGAAAATGAGTACACTGATCAGAAAATGAAACGTGCATCAAGACTCGTGTCTGCCTGAGGGAAGTTGCCTGGACTATATACACAGTTCCCTCTTTAGGAAACTGCAGTACACTCGAGTTCACCCATGGACACTGTTCTCCTTGCAAGCCTATTCTGGAGCACTAAGAATGGCACAGGAAGGAGCTGGAAGAACCCTCTGGGGACTGGTAGAGAAGGCAGTGCCTAAGGGTTATGATTTCAGAGCAGCTGAAGGAGAACATAGAACCACCAACACCCTCCACTGCACCACACCCTTGCAGGCCTCAAACTGAATGCTATGGAAAATTCCACCCCAGACCTTTCTTTCTTTCTTCCATGATCTTGAGATTGGTTTTCTACTAAAATGGAAATATCATTTGGAGCTTGTGCACACTTTCAGGTGTTATCAGTCTCTCATACCTTAGTGGAAAGGAGAGGCATGAGACCAACTTTAGAGACAACAGTGTGGAGAAAAACTGAGGGCACTGGCGCCAAGTGTGAAAAAGCAGAGAAAATCCTCCACCGTGGAGAGGCTGGAGGAGAACAAGGAATTCTATTACAGTACAGGCCATGTGCCTTGGACTAATCCCAATCGTATATACATACAACATGGAGAACCAATTCCCTTTCCTATCAGCAAAGCTGTGGGACTTGTTAAAAGTGACCGCTCATGTGCACATTGACGCTGTGTGTGATTTTCCAGTAGAAAGCCATGATGATACTCATCTTCTGGTGCGCTGTGCAAGCCTCACTAGCCTGTTTAGTATGGTATGAAACGGACTTCTAGATTAGCTGAACTTTATACCTATTTTGGTCCAGAAATGAGCTGGTGACTTCCAGTTGGATCTGTGAAGGTCAGATGAACAGCAGGATTCCCTCCCTCCATTTACCATGACTGTGATGCAGACAAGAAAAAAAGGATTGCTTCTTAAGACTAGTGCTAGATGGTTTCAAGGTCCCACTCCTGCAATGGGATGAGGCAAGGTTCAAGTATAACAATAGCAGCAACAATAAAACATTGTATCTCCCTGGGTAAGCAATAGGACAGAGAGGGATCAAATGTCATTAAAGGTTTGTTTAAGGTATTTACATATAGCCAGTCTAAGGGCCAATCCTACATCAGCAGCTAAAATTAGACAGGGCATTTATTTTTTAAATGTTTCCCCATATTGAAATGCAAAGCAAAACCACAATGAGATATCACTTCACACCAGTCAGAATGGCCAAAAAGAAAAAACAAAACAAAACAAGAAATAACAAGTGTTGGCAGGGATGTGGAGAAAACAGAACCCTCCTACACTGTTGCTGGGAATGTAAATTGGTGCAGCCACTATGGAAAGCAGTAGGGAGGTTCCTCAAAGAACCAAAACTAGAACTACTATATAACCCAGTGATTCTACTCCAGAGAATTTACCCAAAGGAAACAAAATCACTAATTCAAAAAGATATATGTAGTCCAATGTCTATTGCAACATTACTTACAATAGCCAAGATATGGAAGCAACCTAAGTGTCCATCAACAGATGAATGGATAAAGAAAATATGGTACATAGACACAATGGAATATTCCTCAGCCCTACAGGCTATTATGCTCAGTGAAATAAGCCAGGCAGAGAAACACAAATACCATATGATCTCACTTATACGTGGAATCTAAAAAACAAAACAAATGAACAAATAAACAGAAAGACTTATAAACACAAGAGAACACACTGGTGGTTGCCACAGGGGAGGTGGGTGGGAGGATGGGCTAAATAAGGGAAGAGGCTAAAGAGGTACAAACTTCGAATTATAAAATAAACTAGTCACAGAGATGGAAGTACAGCATAGGGAATATGATCAACAGTATTTTCATAACCTGGTATGGTGACAGATGGTAACCACTTATCGTGGTGAGCATTTAGTAATGTACATAATTGTTAAATCACTATGTTGCACTCCTGAACCAACAGAATATTGTATATCAACTATATTTCAGTAATAAAACAAAACAAAATAAAATAAAATAACTGAATGTTTCCCTACATTTTTCCGTTTTGGATATCCACAATGACAGCAAAACCTATTTTCTATCCACTAAAAACCAGGTGTTAATTTTGAGCTGTTGGGGATCTGCCAGTATAAACTACACAGAAGTTAATATTTTTACGGCTTTACAAATACAGCCTTTTGGGGTAGTTTTCTGTTTCAACATACATGCTATTTTATGACATTTTCCCTAAACTGACAAACACAAGGAAGCATTATGAGAACAAATTCCCCCACCCCCTTATTCCATTCCATCACTAATCTTACAGCTGCAATTTACTGATTTACTGAGCCCTTGCTATGTGCTGGCACCATGCTTTTAGTTATATGTATGTGTGTATGTGTACATATGCATATGTGTATATATATATATATATATATATATATATATATATACATATATATATCCATTCACTGCACTTGATTCTCCCAGCAAGCCTGTAATGTGTGTATGTAATGTGGGTACAATTATTTCCCCCATTTTATAGATGAGTCAACTAAGACTCACAGTAATTAAGTCACAAAGCAAGAAAGTGATGGAACCAAAAAAATTACACAAGAAAGCTCCCTGAGAGGCATTTCAGCCCTTATGCATACTTTGTTTTCATGAGACATTTAAAAAAATGAAAAAGAAATTCATGGGTTTACACATGAAAATAAACCCCTTGCTGCTGTCAGTATAAGCAGCATCTGTACCATCTACAGCAAGTACTACAACCTCCAGGATGGCTAATTCAACTGATCACAGTAAAAGAAAATCTCCCATGTGACAAGACTGTCCACTGGGGCCTTGCCTAATCCCTGTACTGTTCTTGTCCTTTCATGCCCTGACCCACTAGGCACCTGCTCACGTTTGCCAGAAGCAGCAAGTGACTGCACTGAGCTACTCCTCTCTGTTCATCTGGTTCCACCTTGGGAGCTGCGTTCATGTATGCGAAGTGTGGGTTGGGTGGGGGTCCTACCCATGGTCACA